CATGCTCTGATACAAAGCCTCATTAATAATTTAGCCATACTAAGCTGCTTAAATTGTGGGCGTAAATAAATGTCCGTATAGCACAGAAAAGCTGGCGCACTGCCAAATGTTGTGCCTGTCATCTGAAGCCCTAGTGATTATTGCGCATGCGCGATTTAATCGCGATTTGATATCGCCCAGCCCTAACACAAACTCAAGCAGAATGTTACATGAATTATTTCACATGACATTTATGTAAAAACGGTACCTTACTCATGCTAAAAAAAATCAGTAAATGAGATTGTGAAGAGAAAAAGACCAGAAAATTATAAACGTGACTTTTGTAAGCCATTACCAGGTTATACTGCAGGTGTTTTGAGGATTAGATACACTGGTTAGATACACAGTTCTTACAGTGTACTTGTCTTGTATGTGGCCCTTCAGGACGCTGTCAATATCTTCAATGTTCACCCCTCCATATTCAATATGTTCCACTCCCATGGTGTCACACAGCAGGAATGCGAGAGGTGGTCCGTCTCGACCCGCTTTCACCTGGTAAGCACGATACTAGAAGACATACACATGTCATTCATCTTCTAACTATTTATCCAGTACAGGTTACTGGGCAGCCTGGGGATTCAGTCCCTTCCAAACGCACATAAGGACAACAAATAGCAACTGAGTAACAGAATAAAAAAGACAGGATGCCTTCGATGCTTCCCAGTTAGCTGGCAAAAAAACACTTCACAAACACAGTGTGGAGTAAATAAAATCTGTATAATGTACTCGATTTCAAACTTGCAAAAGCAAAACACTACCAAACAAAAAGAGTTGTTTCATTCATCAACTTATCCAGGTCCATATACTGTACTTAGGCTTTATACTCAGGCACTCCCAGACCAACTGGGATATACAGTATAATCCCTCCAGCAGGCCTTGTGTCTGGCCCAAGGTCTCCTCCTGGTGGGACCTGCCCAAAACACCTTCCCAGGGAAGAATCCTAAATAGATGCCTGAACCACTTCAACTGGCTCCTTTTGATGAGGAGGTGCAGTGGTTTACTTTGAGCCCCTCCCGAATGCCAGAGCTCCTCACCATCTTTAAAGCTGAGCCCAGGCACTCTGAGAAGGAAATTCATTTTTGCTACTTGTATCTATGATTGCATTCTTCCGTTGACTACCCAATGCTTGCAACCATAGCTGAGGGTAGGAATGTAGATTAACTGGTGAATTAATAGCTTTGTTTTCTGGCTCAGCTCTCTCTCTCTACCATGACAGAATAGTACAACATCCACATTACCACCAGTGCTGTACTGATCCAGTTGTCTACCTGACCTTTCATGAAGAAGAACCTGAAATACTTTAACTTCGCCACTCGAGGCAGTTGCTCATCCACTATGGGAGAGGGTAATCCAGCCCTGATGGCTTGTAACAGACCCCGTACTTCATACTCTTGAAATACCCTTAACACAACCCTCACAGGGACAGGATCATATGCCTTTTCCAAGTCCTCAAAATATTGGTGGATATCGGTTGGGCAAACACTCATGAACCCTGCTCTGGAATTCTATAAGGATGGAAGCTGCATTTTTCCTCCAGGATCTGAAGTTTGACCAAAGGATGGACCCTCTGTCATGCCCTGCTCGTCCGATCCTCTCATGTGCCACGCCCCCTCGTTACCTCCTGTGGAATCCCCGTGTTATCAGCTGCTTTGATTTGCTGTCATTAGTCCTGTGTATTTAAGTGTTCATTTAAGTATGTTTCCCCAGTCTGGTCATTGACATTGTGGTGTGAATGTGTTCGTTCTGTTAAGGATCCAGACAGATTTGACGTGTGGCCGAGGCATGATGCAGGCAGAAACAAAGATGTGGATGACCCACTTGCGGCTTGCAGGGAAAAAGGGGTTTATTAACAAACAGAAAACACTAGGAACACTACAGAACATAAAAGACCTTGAGGGGTCAAAACTAAAAAGGGGATAAACAAATTCTAAATACTAACAGCTTAGGGCAACAAGAGGCAGGCAGGCAGGTTGCAAACAACAGAACATTCAACTATCATACATGCACGATCACAGGACTAAACTGATGCATAAGAAACCCTAGGAACAAAACAACAGAGGAAGTGGAATTCTAACACAAGACAGAGGGGTTCACAGGCAACCACATGCTCAATGAGTTGAGGCATGCGGCCAACAGGGAGCAGGAGAAAACACAAAGACTGACGACAGGAGGGACGGGATGACCAGCAACACCTGCTGGTCAAACGGGGAAGGGACACAAAGTGGAAAATCAGGAGCGGACCCTGACACCCTTCTCTCCAGTACTCCGGCATAGACCTTCACAGAGGCTGAGGAGTGTAATCTCCCTGAAGTTGAAACACATCCTCTGGTCTACTTTCTTAAAGATTGGGACCACCTCCTCAGTCTGCTTATCCAAAGGCACTGTTTCCAACCTCCATTCAATGCTGAAGGGATGTGTCAGCCAAGACAGCCTAACAACATCAAGACTCCTCAGGAACTCAGGCCAAATATCATCCACCCTGGGCCCTTACCAACGAATATTATTCACTACTTCAGTGACCTCAACCCTAGTGATGGGCAAGTCCTCTGACTCTACTTCCTCTAAGGAAGGCGTGTCAGTGGGAATCAGGAGGTCCTCAAAGAACTCATTCCACCACCTAGCTGTATCCCCAGGTGAGGTCAACAGCACTGCTGTAAACAGGATGGGCTATTTCTATAAAACCACATCCATGTGGGTTTCACAACTGCTAGGGGCAGAGTGCTGTGGGCCCCAGGACATTTAGCAGATTTTGTTCTTTACTGAAGGACAGCACTGAGTGTGACTCTGTGCAGCGCTGTGATACTGTAATGTGGTCTATCAGTGCTGATGGATGATAATAATAATCAGTACTTTATTGATCCCTGTGGGGAAATTGTCTTTATGCTTCCCTCAACTTGCTCTTTGTAGAGTAAGCTGTCCGCGAAGGGCAGCCACCTGTTGGGGCGCCCAGGGAGCTGGGGGTTAAGGGCCTTGCTCAAGGACCCGCAGATTTGCAGAGGCTGGGTTTGAACCAGCAACCTTCTGATTATAGGCACACAGGCTTAGTCCACTGACCAAGGGAAAGAGTTTGTCCAACAATTGTTGTTTTCACACATGTTCTGTCCTGTAACTTAGAACTTCTGGTGTGTTACCATCCATCAGTCACTGCCAAATCTGTTGTATGAATTATTGCTGATTATTCATCCACAGCTGAATGACAACATTTTCAGACTTCTGAAGATTAAGCATGCTGTCTGAAGTGCTTACCATCCACAAACCAATGGCCAGGTGATACTGCCTTTTCAATACTTCGGTACCACTTTGGATGTTTGCACGAATTTTTTTACAGCTGTTATTGACAACATTTTTGCATGTGTCTGATATTTGCAGGATGAAAGGACAAATCAAAATATTAAACTCTGAAGAAATACGTCAACGAAAGCCACAATGACTGGGATCTCCACCTTCCTGCAGTTGTCTATGGCATTATCACTGTTAAGCAGGTGGGTGTATTTGTTCTTATTGTTTTTTGCAACCCCCTTTATGCTTTTCACTTCCACCTTATGATTCAGTGTTGTAATGTGAATTTCTTCATAAACAGTTTTCCACCAGGCATACTCCCTACTTCTTGTTGTTCCATCGACATTCTCGTTTACCTGAAGTTATTAATACATGTCCTATGGAAGACAACTTTGAAATTGGGGATCCAGAAGAAGATCTTGATGCCAGGGTGAAGGAATCAAGACTTTTAAATGAAAATTTCATGGCCCGTTGAAAAGACAACAGGTATTTTATACAAGCAGTTTACAGTTAAGTTCAATGCACTTTTTATTTTTTGTTGTAGGTACTGTGCAACATTGAGAAAGCACAGAAGCAGCAGCAGAAGACTTACGGAAGTCGGAAGAGGAAGAAGCAATGTCAGTGTTGGTGATGATGTCCTCATTTCGGGAAACCCCAAAAAACAGCGGTTCAAAGACTCCCTAGCCCACCGCCATCACGGTCCATTTACGGTGACCAGCATTTCCTCAAAGGGTGTGGCTGTTGTGGTGAAAGACAATGGGATGTGTCACCAACTCAACGTCTCCCATTTAAGGCCATACTACCGATTAGAAAGTAAGGGTGTTTCCTAAGGTTGTGTCTATGATTTCTGTTCTGTTGAATGTCGTGATAACAAATGTAGAACTTAACTGATTAAGCTTTTCCCTGTAGATCGTGGACAGGCTGAGGGGTCGTTTCTGGAGGACCATATGTACTGGACATCAGAACAGAACACTGACCATGTTTATGCTTCCCTTGGACAGAAGTGGGAAAAAGATTTGGGTCCTCAAAAGGATAAACTGGCAAGTGCCATTTCAATCTTTCCGCATTACATTTGTCAAATTCCAGTTTATGAAGCTCATGTGCAGGTTGTGATTGGCTGTACAGTGTACTTACTGAAGTGGTTTGATAATTAGTGGAATTTTAATTGTGATTAGCTGAAATACATCCTGGACACAGACTGTCCTGCAGGAGAGCTGGTTGTGAAGGACACTGACGTCTGCCTTACATGTGAAGACTTCAGGAGTCTAGGATTAAATCGGTTAATGGATTCCAATGTGAGTTTACTGATGTGGAAAAATTAGACTTCATTTATTTTCATATAAAATAAATGCATTTGGTCAATCTCTTATTTTTTGTGATTGTAGATTAGAAATGCCTGCTTCAAAGTGGTGAAAGAGGCTGCTCGAAGACATGTAATTACAGTACCTGTGGTATTTCATATAGTTGTATTTTTTTAACTAAATGAACTTTTGATATAAATTCATAATACTGTATTAAATGGGGGAAAGATGTTCACATTGTCGACATGTATGCTATGCCTACTTGGAAGACAAAGAATGTGGACCCACTGGTTGGCATGCCAGTAAGTGCTTTTACGTAATGTGCGTGCAGGTGATGCAACCTTACACAAACACAAAAATTAATGTTTTTGTCTCAACTGCAGGATGACCTGGGATCAAAGGATGCCATATTGTTTCCGGCATGGAGCAGTTGGCAGGATCAGATGGACCACTATCTGCTTTGTGTTGAGTTGCAATTGTTATTGATATTCAGCAAATGCTTTTGTTGCTGAACTTACTGTGATGCATTGCTTATATTCTTCTTTCAAATTATGCTCTCTGCAGGTTTTATTGGCGGCAAAAAAAGAGATATCCTTTTCTGGACTCTCTTATTCCTGATGGTTTTGGAGATGAGGTCTAGAGAACCATATTTAGGTCCAGAGATTACAGAGACATTTGGCCTTGTTCTATGGCTCATTGTATAGCAGATTTTGTCATTGTTTAAACAGTGTTTTTTTTCCCTAAACCCTTGTTCTATGGGTACAGGTTTCAGGAGGAGCCTTCCCAGATAGCAAACATATGTTGAAATGGCATTGATTCCATATTAAACAACTTTGATCTTCAATGTTGATTTAGCATTGACCTTGTTCGTTCAAAAGGCCATCGATCCAACATTGAAAAATCAACCATTTGTGATAAGGATTCAACGTTGTTTCAACACTTGTTTGGCAACTTCTTTATCCATTGATTTAATGTTGAATTAGTGTATGTTGAATCAATATTGGGTTATAATTGTTTCCCAAGTGAATTAATGTTGAAATGATGTTATATCTAGCAGGGCTTGCTAATGATTAATAAAAAAATAACATGTACAAATATTTTAATTGAATATTTAAATATTAAGTCAGTCAAAGTGAAAATAAATTTTAGCCATCTCAGCTATATATGAGACCAGAACACATGATTCCAGTTATTAGAGTACAAGAATTTTTATTAATAAATTACAAATATCAACTCTAAACACAAAAACGGTTTTGGTTTATTGGTTTCTGATTCTTCGCTTTGCCCCTGCCTGTTCCTTTTGCCTTGGTTTGTTTGCTTTTTGGTTTCGGTTTCTTGCCCAGGTTTGGTTTACGTCTTTGCGCGTCCCTCGGACTCTGACGCTTTGCTGTGTGTATGTTTTGTGTGTACATTAGGTGCGTAGGGAGTGGTTGCCATTTTTGTTTGTGACCTTTTGTTGTTGATTGGTTAAGAAGTAAGGAGTAGTATTTGTTGTTTTTGTTCTTTGAGTTCTTTGCATTTAGATAAATTAGCCTTGGGTTGCGTTCAGTTCCTGGGGTTTTGTTGATTGTTTTGGCTATAATCACTTCTGAGTCCTTCTACACCTGGTTTATTAGTTCAGTACGGGTCTGTCGCGTGTAAATAAAAACCAGAAAAATATAAAAATATACCCATTTGTCCACGTATATTCCCTTGTCCACCACACCCTGTGTTTCCCTTATTCCACTTCCCCTTTCCCTTCCATTCTGTTACGCCCCAACCCTAGACTGGGGCTCGTAACACTACAATGCATTTTTTCCCCGTAGCAAAAGGTTCTCGGTGGAAAGGAGCCTTCAAAATGGCTAGAGCGATTCCAGAAGAAGTCAGCCACCCAGGTCCCTGTGTACCTGGATTCTGAGGATCACCAAGACTACCTGTTCTTCTACCTGCAGAGTCTTCTAAGAACTGCACCAACAGCTTTTGAAGTCAGGGATCAAGTGCAGTTCATCTTGGATGTTCTGTTTCCAGAGGTTAGGCAATTCGATATAGTGATTTCTGTTTATGAAATTAGTACACAATCCTGTTGGAAATCCATTTAGTGGTTTTTATATTATTACTATACATAAGAGAAAAAAAATCTGTTTCTCTATATTAGTCCATCGTCCACGCCCTTACTGCTCTGCTGGGCATATNTTTAAAACAAATATGCCAATAAAATGTTTCAAATTCATATTCATGTCCAGTTGTTTTTCCTTATGTGGCAAGTAGCCGTGTAATAAGCGGGATAATGTACAGGCAGCCGGTAGTTATCGCTAAATAAGCCCCTTCAGTGTGATAGAAGACCCTCGCGTCAGGTCCTGATCACACTGTCGGGGCTTATTTCTGCGATAACTACCGGCTGCCTGTACATTATCCCTTACTTGTGAATGCTGAAGGCTTACAAAAAATTGTGTTCCATTTTCATAATTATGATGTATTCTAGAGCGACATACCATTAATTCGGCAGTGGTGGTGCATCGTCCTCATGGAGCGTTTTCATATAGAGGGGTATGACAAGACTCTGCATGCGTGAAATGTTTCCCTAGTGTTTTGTTGCTTATTTTAATGTGTTGTTTGAAAATGTTATTTTAAAGCCATGGACACAGATTTGCATATTGGACTAATGAGTATAGGGAGTTGTTGCAGGGAACCCTTCAGCCTGTCTTTAGGGTATCTAGGTCATTCTCTGCAACAGTCCCAGCTCATGTGCAAGCCACCATTGACCGGGCAGCAGCCGAGAAGACACTGGTTGACTACATTGTCCAAGCAATGGGCACCCAGCAGCATTTGTTGGTATGTCACAGACATCTTGCTAAAGTCATGTGTTTTCATATATCAACATACCAGAACCTGCACGTTTTACTAGTTACTACATTACACTGCATGACCTTGCAGAAGGTCCTCGGTGGAAAGAAGTCTTCAAAATGGATAGAGCGTTTTCAGAAGAAGTCAGCCACCCGGGTCCCTGTGTACCTGGATTCAGAGGATCACCAGGACTCCCTGTTCTTCTACTTGCAGTCTCTTCTAAGAACTGCACCAACAGCTTTTGAAGTCGGGGATCAAGTGCAGTTCATCTTGGATGTTCTATTTCCAGAGGTTAGGCAATTTGATGTAGTGATTTCTGTTTATGAAATTAGTGCACAATCCTGTTGGAAAACCAATGGTTTTTATATTATCACTATACATAAGAGAAAAAAAACTTGTTTCTCTTAGTCCATCGTCCACACCCTTACTGCTCTTCGGGGCATATCTGCAGAAGAGGCAGAAGAATTGTTTCTTGCTGGTCCTGTTTACAGCGGAAGGTAATGGCTTTTTTTTTTTCGATTGCATGAATGTTTTATCCATTATTATTATCATTTTTCCTGTTCTAGTAAAGTAGAAGAGTTCAATCAGAAGATTGGACGCCAAATAAAGAAAGAGGGAGGACCTTTTTTGAGATTTATTTTGCTTTTTTTTTCCTTTATCAACGTGTGATATGCTTTCTCCCTTTGATTACATCACATTTTTGTAAATAACTTGTACATAATTGTAAATATATCATTTGTGAGTAGCTGGGAATGTTACCATGCCCAGGGGGGTTGGGTGGCCAGTTGACCTTGGACCCCCACAGGTTTTTTTCTCCTATATCTGATGAGTTTTTGGTTCCTTTGTTGTCTTCTGGCCTTTCGTTTCTGGTTTTGTAATTTTAGATAAATTTGCATTGTGTTACATGTTTTATGTTGTGCAAAAAAAAGTTCTTCACTGTTGTTTTGGTGTGATTTTTTTAGAAAATGCTGTACATATATCACAACCGCTTGATAAGCAAAATAAGATATAAAATGACCTAAAGAATAATAAAAAAACAGAGCCCAGCAGGCAAAGGAAAATGACTTCCTTCTTGAAACACAAGGAACAATGAGCAGGTTAAGAATTCTGGTTCATGAATAAAGAACTTATTTAAAAAAAACCAGGATTAGAATGTAGGTGCACAAGATTTATATACACCCCAATTTCATTACGTTTTCTAAAGAAAAGTCATCTATTCAGCAATACCATTGGGAAAAACCTTACGTAAGATTACTGTCAGGCACTAAAAGCAATGTCCACATCCTGAATCACGTAATCATGATCTACCGCAAAATGAGAATACATGTGTAGTATCGAGCCTGTGGAAGTGTACATTACGCATGTATAATAAAAAGGGATGAACTATACGTAATAAAGAGGTGCCGGAAGTGCCTGAAAATGTGGTTTTGTGGACGAATGCGTGATGAATGTGCGCATGCGTAGCAGCGGAAGTTACATTTTCGGTAGGTGTAATATTTTTGGTAGTGACACAGATCGTGCAGCACCTCTCAGCTGGCTGCACAAACTAGAACCGCCTCCGTGACGACACAACTTTGCATATATTGGCTATAGTGTTTAGTTACACATATGACGTTTGTATCCTAGGCAGTTCCGATGCGTAATCTGCTATTTCTCCCGAATATCACGTAAAGCTGTGAGAACTGGTTTTCAGTTAATTTACCTGGTAAAATAAAGTTTAAATAAATTACATAAATGCTCTAATAGTACACATAAGTTAGTGTTTTATTTATTGTTAGTTACTGTAATGTTGCACTGATTTATTTGTTTAGTAGTCCAATCTGTGAAGAAAGCATTCTAGTAAGAATTGCATTGTACTCTGTACATTACAATAAAAATTTTGTATCCTTGAAATACATGCATTTGATCTTTTTCCTGGCAGCTATCTTTTTACACAGAGCCACTATACACAATAGTTTTATTCACTGCTAACAGTTTGTATCAGGAGTTGGTTATTGTAAAAGAAGTAATATGCATGCAGGTGATATTTGTATAGATTTATCTACACCCTTCTGGCAGTGCTGCCGTTGCACACTCGGTTCTAGCACACTCTGATTTGGCTACAATCAGTTTATACTCCACCACTGCACCCACCGGCAGATCTCGCTTCCACGTCACGTCAGCTGCAGACAGACCTAAGTCCAAGTCGAACACACCCATTGCTTCTTTAAGGGAGGATGGGCAAAATGACAATATCGTCAGTGATTGGTTGTTGCCTGCAGATGTGCCGAGGCTGGGTTTGAACCAGCAACCTTCTGATTACACACACTGCCCCAAATTATCCACCGGTGCATAAAATGAGGCCCCTAGGCCTGCAGACTGCTTCTACAAACATTTGTGAAGGAATGGGTTGCTCTCAGGTGCTCAGTGAAATCAAGTGTGGTACTGTGATAGGATGCCACCTGTGCAATAAGTCCATTCATGAAATTTCCTCACTAATAAATATTTCAACTGTTATTGTGGTATTATAACAAAGTGAAAGTAATTAGGAACAACAGCAACTCAGCCACAAAGTGCGGGAACAACGCAGAGCGGGAACAATGCATGCTGAGGTGCACAGAGTGCAGAAGTCACCAACTGTCTGCAGAGTCAATAGCTACAGACCTCCAAACTTTGTGTGGCCTTAGATTAGCTCAAGAACACTGCATAGAGAACTTCATGGAATGGGTTCCCATGGCCGAAAAGCTACATCCAAGACTTACATCATCAAGTACAATGCAAAGTGTTGGATGCAGTGGTGTAAAGCACACTGCCAGTGGACTCTAGAGCAGTGGAGTCATGTTCTCTGGCATGACGAATCACGCTTCTCTGTCTGGCAATCCAATGGACAAGTCTGAGTTTGGCGGTTACCAGGAGAAAGGTACTTGCCTGACTGCATTGTGCCAAGTGTAAATATTGGTGGAGGGGGGATTATGCTGTGCAGTTGTTTTTCAGGGGTTGGGCTTGGCCCCTTAGTTCCAGTGAAAGGAACTATTAATGCTGCAGCATTTGAAACCATTTTGGACAATTTCATGCTCCCAACTTTGTGGGAACAGTTTGGGGATGGCCCCTTCCTGTTCCAACATGACTGCGCATCAGTGCACAAAGCAAGGTCTATAAGGACATTGATGAGCGAGTCTGGTGTGGTGGAACTCGACTGTCCTACACAGAGCCTTGACCTCTATCTGACAGAACACCTTGGGGATGAATTAGAGTGCCGACTGCGAGCCAGGTCTTCTTGTCCAACATCAGTGCCTGACCTCACAAGTGCTCTCCTGGAAGAATGGTCAAAAATTCCCATAAACACACTACTAAACCTTGTGGACAGCCTTTCCAGAATAGTTGAAGCTGTTATAGCTACAAATGGTGGGTCAACTCCATATTAAAGCCTATGTATTAAGAATGAGATGTCATTAAAGTTCATGTGTGTGTAAAGGCAGGTGTCCCAATACTTTTGGCAATATAGTGTATGTCAGGGGACTCTGTGCCATACTGGACTCTTATAATGCACACGATTACATTCCACTATTCAAATTGTTTTCTACTTGACTGCTTTTGCAACATTTGCGCAATTTCTGGATGTCTAAAATACCTATTGTATGCCTTTTCTGTTTAGAGTTGATATTTGTAATTTATTTATAAAAATCCTTGTACTCTAATAACTGGAGCCATGTGTTCTGTGTGGCTCAGTGGGCTAAGCCTGTATGCCTGTAATCACGAGGTCACCAGTTCAAACCCAGCCTTTGAATGCCAGTGGGTCCTTGAGCAAGGCCTTTAACCCCCAGCTCCCTGGGTGCAGCCATGAGCTGCTGCACTTCGTGGGCAACTTACTCACAAAGAGCAAGTTGAGGGAAACGTAAAAGATAATTTCCCCATGGGGATTAATGAAGTGATGATGAGTATTATTATTTAACATTTATTAAAATGTTGAATTGTGAAATGTGGTTCTTGTTTTTTATTTCCCCTGACTTAAGTAAAACAAGGTACTAATACTAAAGAAAGTGTGTTAACTATTTGCATGGACATTTCTGAGTAGAAAACAACAAAAAAATTAAGGTAGAGCAACTTTATTTGAATGATGAGGTAACTTAATATTTCAATGAATATTGAATTAATATTAAGTAGGTATTACTTAATTTAGCTTTTGGATATAGAAGGAAAAACATGTTTATTATGCTTGATTTAATGGTGTAACTAACACATGCATTAAGTACAACCAATATGAAAATTCAAATAGTGCCCACTGAATATCGAGTAGATTCAACTTAATATAGCTTCGAGTGTATTTAATGAGGCATGGTGGTGCAGTGGTTAGCACTGTTGCCTCACACCTCTGGGACCTGGGTTTGAGTCTCCCCCTGGGTCACATGTGTGTGGAGTTTGCATGTTCTCCCCGTGTCATTGTGGGGTTTCCTCTGGGTACTCTGGTTTCCCCCCACAGTCCGAAGACATGCTGAGGCTAATTGGCGTTGCTAAATTGCCCTTAGGTGTGCATGTGTGAGTGTGCCCTGTGATGGACTGACCCCCCATCCAGGGTTGTTCCCTGCCTCGTGCCTGTTGCTTCCGGGATAGGCTCCGGACCCCCACAACCCAGTAGGATAAGTGGGTTGGACAATGAATGGATGTATTTAATGATTTCTGTTGGAGTAATAATGATACTTTAGTAACAATTACTTAATAATACCGAATTGGGACAACTTAAAAAGATCAATGCAAATAGTTAACCAAATACATTCTTTTTTAGAGTGTGTAGATCGTCATGCATTTAATGTTTTTCTGATGCAGTAACAAGATTTATCGAATAGTTTTGTTCAGTTCCAGTTGTTCATCTATACAATGAGTCTATAAAGTTGGAGATTGACCCTTCATATTATTTTTGAACTAACAAAACTAACAGGATCAAATTTCCAAACTGCCCTTTCTGCCAACACTATGTGTCATGTTTGAGTTTTGTGCAATCTGTCTCAAACTTGATCATGACCAGTACATACCCCAGATAAAGTTCCTGCAAAATTTGAAAAAGATCAGCCAAATGAATTTTGACTTATCACATTCATGAGAAAGTGCTTGCTGCTGAAGGCTGGTCTCCGGACCATATATGTATTGTACAGACCAATCCAGGCAATATAACTAAACAAAGCAGATGTAGAGCAATCACCAAAGATTCACACTATGACATGATGACTCAGGCGATCATATTACCTTTGTTGTCTGGCTGACTTCACTGATTCCTGCTCTGGCTTGGCCTGTTATATTGCCACGGAAGACAGAGTTGATGGAGTTGAAGAAGCTCGATTTTCCAGCACCAATCGCACCAACTAGAAGAATCCGAGCCTGAGGCACTGATTTGATATTGGGTGCGTAATTTTGCACAGATTGCTTGAGATTTCTAAAGGAATAGATATATAAATTGGAAATGGAAATTAGTAAACATTCATCAGGAATACAAATAATGCTATATCTCATGACATATTACAAGGCTGTGCACATTTGAGAAACCAGGGTCTGCCAGTGCCTGGAGCAGTTAGACTTATAACACAAAGGTCCAACAGTGAACACTCTGCCAACCATGGGAACTAGTGACCCTTCAATTACAGGCAGTGGAAAGAGTATTCAAACATATTTCAGAGATATATGCATAAAATTATAAAACTGTTACTGATAAGAACATAAAAGCTGTATATAAAATTTGATAAAAACAGGCTTCATACCCAGTGTCCCATATAATATTCCTCCATGGTTTATCAAGGAGCTCTGGTTTTTCCTCCACTGTCTTTGGGGTACTTTCTCCAAATAGCTTTTTCCTCAACGAACGTCCAAACATTTTCCAACACCAACTTCCAGACCTGTTCCATGACAGTACAGTGTTTTCCTTTTCAGTTCAAAACAGGTTTGTCACAAACTGCCGCATTACCCATATGCATCAACCAGTTTAACAATATAACAATATTTTTCAATGCTTCATATGGCTTTTCAAGAAACAATACAATAAAATTACTCAGTAAATGTAAATTAGTTAGAAAACATCCAGGTGTTAAGTTGAGTGATTATAAACCATTATGAATACTGCTGTGTGACTATGTGAATAATTTTTCTTTTGTCTATACAGATTGGCTGTGACATTTATCCAAGGTGGAACCACAGGAGCTGTGTCAAAAAACCTTGAAAAAAGCAGTTCATTTGTGAGGCCTGTCAGTAAAACCTGTTCTTTACCCTGGTGTCTTGTACATATAGTAGTTCTTTATGCATTTTGGTCTTGCAAGCATCTGTTTTTATTTTAGCACTAAGTATTGAAAAATAACTACATTGAAAGTAATATACTTAAGTTCTGTTTTAATTTTTATTTTTTTGCATCTATGTTTTTGGGGAAAGATTAAGAAAACCATATGTCCAACCACATTTATCAAAGATAAGAACACTCCTAAACTTATTAAGAAACATTTTTCTTAATACTTAATATGAATTCTTAATATTAAGAAACATTTCCTTATTATGGACATTTTTGATCAAGGGAGACCTCAGATTTAACAATAAATAAAACTCACAAGACTAAAGTATACTTCATCTAAAACATTAAACTCCTTGGGGGCAAAGCATAAGCTGTATTATGTCAGGTAGAAAACAGCACTTTACTAGTTGGAATGTAGCATTATACTTGTTTAAAATGGTAAAACAGAGTACATGGTTTAAAATGTTCTTATCCATATGTGCTACAAAGGTAAAATCACCCAGAGCGAGGTTTTCAGTAAAAAGATATTGGCGTTAATCACTTTTTGGCAATGGGAAAATTGCATTATATTGGTTATACTGGTCCAATAGAGGTGTTTAAAGTGCTAAAAATGGGTTAGATGTTTACTAATTCCATAAATATAACCCAGAAGAGTGCTAAACAATTAAAGTCAGGTAGAAAGAGCCATTCAGTAAAAAGGTATTGGCGTTAATCACTTTTTGGCAATGGGTAAACTGCATTGTACTGGTTATACTGGTCCTATAGAGGTGTTTATAGTGGTAAAAAGGACTGGATGGTTGATACTGCAGCACAGAGCAGGAAAAATCCACTGAGTCTTTAATATGACTACAAGATGAAGAATCATCTTTATTTTATAAGTAATCCACATCGGTTGTGTAGTGAAACCCATTTAGACGTAGAAACATAGATTCTATATAGATTCTATATCTTTATAAACATAAATCTACATTAATGTGTTGCATTTGAACTTCCATGGCTTCATGACATAAGGTTTTACAACACATTTACGACCGAGGACTGCTTTAAAGCATTTTACATGACAATGGCTTCCTTTGTCTCTTATTATAATTATTTATTTAAAAATTAACCAAACCCTTAAATCTGACAAAGACATACCTTCGCTATTAGCACGGGGATACATGTACTGTATAGTTTTTGCACTTTAAGATGATTTGATATCGAAAATAGCCACTGTAGTTGCATAAAAACTGTGCGGTGCATCTTGAACAGGCTGTGCACGCTCCCGCGGATGGTAACACTGCACAACAAAGTTTTTGCTTCTTGAACAGTGTTTGGTGTTTCTTATAGATTTTTGGCTGCTGATCACGAAAATCACATCCAAATTTGCCCATCACATACCGTTTCATTGGAATCTTCAGTTTTGTCTTTTTTTTTTTCTCTTATATTTGTGTCCAAAATTTTTTGTTTCTGCAAGAGACCTATCAACAATGTTTTGTACAGTCTGGGAATGTCCAGGTATGGAATCAGGCCAGGTTGGAAACTGTTCTGTGGAGATTTGCAGCCCAGGCATGCCTGGGTAGGCCGGAGCCAGCTTGACACTGCCTCAGCAGGCTATAAAAGTGCTCAATGGGTTAATATAGAGCTGATAGTGTGTACGTATTGTTTCAGAATGTAGCATTTCCTCAGTAGCAATGTAACAAGTAAGCTAGATGCTATAGACATTTGCAGGATGATTTGTGTCGGTCGATATGTCTTGTCAATGTCGTAACAGCCGCGATACATTCTGCTACATTTGTGGCGAATATACGCTTGCGCCTCAGAGACGCTCAATGACTGCTCTTGTGAAAAAAGCATATCATCTGTACTTCGGCTGTAAAACTGGTGATCAAGACAAGGAATGAGCGCCTCACATTTGTTGTGCGACATGTGCTGTCTGTCTGAGAGCCAGGCTCAGAGGCACTCAAAAGACAATGCCATTTGCTGTCCCGATGATATGGCTAAAACAGAAAGACCAGGTAACAGGCTAATGTGCCTGGTTTCTCCACCAAAAACAAGAAGTCAACTGAATACCCTAATGTAACCTTCAGCAATGAGACCCGTGCCACATGACAACAGTCTTCCAATTCGGAAACCACCAGAGGAATGGACCTTAGACGAACCAGATGAAGAAACTGCAATGCAGGGAACCGGCAGTGACAATGATCTGAATTTTGAACCGTGCTCATTGGAGTGGTGGCTCTGAGGCTAGGGTTCTATACCAATAAGGTTGTGGGTTCAAGTCCTGTGAATGCCCTGACTGATTCTACTCTGTTGGACCCTTGAGCAAGACCCTTAACCCGCAATTGTTTCACTCTGGGTATGATGTTAGCCTACAAAGCCCTGCAAGGAGGTCCTCCAACTTACAGGGAATAACTTGGGGGTTGGTGGCAGGATTGAAAAAACCTCCCACTGGTCCATTTTGACTAGTGTGGTGCTGAGGTAGTCGAACAGGATGAAAATCAGTTACCCCATAAGGTGTGGATATGTAGGCATGTATATATTTTCTTTTCTTTCTCCTTGCTTTTCTCCTCCGTGTTTATCCACATGCATATGTGTATTAGTTCAGACTCCCTTCCGATGGGGGGGTGCTGGAACACGAGTATTGGGTAGAGCAATAATCCTGGGCAGGGAATTCATCTTGAATAAATCTTGCACGGAAGCACTGTTGCTTAAACGTGTGCTGTTTTTCTCTCCCAATACAGGTTAATAAATATCTGGGTTTAATAGTCATATATGCCCAATATGAGGTGATAAAAATACAATTCCTATATATATTTTGTTTTATTAATCTGTACCGAGTTGTGGTTTAAGGCCAGAAATATATCTTTTTGTTCATCCATCCATCCATCCATTAACTTCCGCTTATCCGAGGGCGGGTCGCAGGGGCAGCAGTCTCAGCAGGGAAACCCAGACTTCCCTCTCCCTGACCACTTCCTCCAGCTCCTCTGGGGGAATCCCGAGGTGTTCCCAGGCCAGCCGAGAGACATAATCCCTCCAGCGTGTCCTGGGTCTTCGCCGGGGCCCCCTCCCAGTGGGACATGCCCGGAAC